TCTCCTCCCCCATCCCCTGCTCTCCTCCCCCATCCCCTGCTCTCCTCTCCCCCGCCCCTGCTCTCCTCTCCCCCATCCCCTGCTCTCCGCCGTGCAGCCCCTCACTGTGTGAACCTGGCCCCGGGTTCAACCTATGACTTGTGCTTTTCCCAGCGCCGATGAGGAGCCAATGAGAAAGAGCCGGAGCTGAATGCCCAGCCATGGCCGGGCCCTGGATGGCGGCTCCCTGTTGGAGGGCCCTGCTCCTGCTGCTGGCCTCCCAGGCGGTGGCCCTGGGGAAGTGCTCGGAAGCTGATGACGTTCCCGAAGAGTGGCTCCTCCTGCACGTGGTTCAGGGCCAGATTGGGGCGGGAAACTACAGCTACCTGAGGCTGAACCACGAGGGGAAGGTGGTCCTGAGGATGCAGAGCCTGCGAGGGGACGCCGACTTGTACGTGTCCGACCGCACCCTCCACCCCAGCTTCGATGACTACGAGCTGCAGTCGGCCACCTGCGGCCAGGACGTGGTCTTCATCCCTGCCCACTTCCAGCGCCCCGTGGGGATAGGCATCTACGGACACCCGTCGCACCACGAGAGCGACTTCGAGATGAGGGTCTATTTCGACAGGACGGTGGACCAGTACCCCTTCGGCGAGGCCGCCTACTCGGCCGAGGGCGCCGAGGCCGGCCAGAAGCAGGCCTACAGCCCCGAGGAGGCGGCACCGGAGGAGGAGTCTGTGCTCTGGACCATACTAATCAGCATTCTGAAACTGGTACTGGAGATTCTGTTCTGACCCCCGACAGCACTCCAGAGCAGTGCCCGCAGTCTGTGGAGGGACCTGGCTACTTTAACCTGGCTGAATTCTGGTTCCTTTCTCTAGAGGAGGGGTGGAAAAATAGAGCCATACCATTTTGTTACCTCACATCCCCCAAACAGGAAAAGCAGGTAGTAGTTTTTCTTTTGAAGCGTCAAATTTCTATAAACGGAAATGCCCAATTAAACATTGAATCTCCATTATGATCAGTTTGTCAGGCAACCTAAAAGTTATTACAGTAACTAAAGCTTGCATAAAAGAAATCAAAATATGAAGTTCAGCATGTTTTCAGGAGTTCTTACTAAAATCAAGTCCGAAACGCAATGATTTACTTAAATTTCCCTGAACATGGACTAAAGACCCAAGTCTGCCCCAAGTAGGGATGTATTATCTTCTATGTGTACAATTCTAAATCCCCCTCTGCACCAGTCTTATCAGGCCATTTGCCATTTTATCATTTTGGGCTTCCTATCACTAAAGTTCTTTAGTTATTAGGTGATTTTTGTTTTACTGCTTATGGCAGGTCAGAAGCACCACCACAGAGTGGAAAGGGTAAAAACAGTAGTTTTTTCAGTCTAAAAGTTAAAATATTTCCAATTAAGTTGCTAAATATTTCTACTCAATTTTTTAGAGAAAACCAAACCGCTGAAATTTAAAGAAAAAAATATTTTTTTGGAATAGTTGCAGTTTCCTTACCTGTAATTAGGTTCAAGGGTAAGAGTAGCTTATAATGAAATGAGTCAACTAGCAGATTTTAAGCTCAGAGTTAATTTCAAAAATCCTTTATTGGCATAAAAATGAGGCTGTTTTAAATAAATCAGCACCAAATATTCCACTTCAGTGCATATGCATTAGAGCCCCCAAAAAGGATTTTATCCCTCTTTGCTGTTTTTCCCCCTTCTGCCCACTTTCCTGGGTGTTGGGGGGGCTCGCTGACAACAGTCACAAATCCAGCGACCTAGGAGAAAAATTGTTAGTTAATATAGAGTGGAATCTTATTTTTATAGGACTGAATATTAAACCACTTAGGTCTCCTTCCTTAGCTGTCACTAGTGATGATCCCCGGTGGATTTATGTAAATGTCCCTTAAGATGACGGGTAAGCTCAGTGATCAAACCCTAATGCAGAACCTAGCACAGAATCTGCGTTCTTCAGCTTTTCTCTTGGCTGCTCCAACAGCATTCTCAAATCCTGGTGTACTGTGCTGACACAGCGATTTGAAAGCTTTAACTGCAGGATAGGCTGCACTACATACTCGATCTGGATTTCTACAGAACATTACATAATTACGTAACTTGCTTGCTTCTCAGTGGTTCCCGGGAAACAGATCTAGGCATATATTTTATAGAGTATCATACAGTGTTAACTATGCAAATGAGTTCTAAAGTTACACAATTATCTGTGTAATGTCTTAGTCCAATTACTGTAACTGACCGATTGTGTTCTAATTCTAAAGTTACCTGGAATTGTCGCAATGCCTCAGTTTATGGATATATGTTCTAATGTGTAAGGTGAAGCAATCTAAGTTTCTAGATAGTTGACATATAAAAATAAAATCAAAGCACTAAAACAAACTGATGGCTCTTAAAGTACTTTAGCTATTTCAGCAGGAAAACACCAGCTCATTCTGTACATTGAACTGTACTTCCAAAGCAGCCTAGGTGCTCTGACATTTATCTTTTAGTTGTATTGGTCTAAAGATGAAAAGAAGGTAGGCGTGACCTGCGTAATAATGGCTTCTACCATGTTTGGACAGAATGGTCTGCGGGCCATGCCTTCGTGTCATTAGAGTGTCTATGCAGCCTTAAGAAGATGCTGGGAGAGTCTCACCAAAGATAATGCACTTTTAAAATCTTTACCTGATGGAATAGCACCAAGGCCCACACAAAAAGTATGATAACCTCTGTCACACACATCACAGAACATCATTTCTTCTTCGTGGTGGGGCTGTCCACATACAATGCATGTCTTACACTCCATACACTGCCATGGGTAGGTCTTAATGATAGAAACAAGCTCCATGGTCATGTCCAGGCAAGAAGGATGGCCTAAATCAAAACCAACAGTAGCATTTCACAAAGGGCTTTTAACTAATTTGGCACATAAAATACTGGTCTGCTTCAGGACTTGCCAACAATGGCTACAGTACTTAAATCACCAAAGATACGAAAACACAATGTAGAAGAAAACACCCAGCCTTGTCACACAAGATTACCCTGTTACTGCATGACCACTGAACTGAAGTCCAACTGACTTCTACAAACTCTAGTTTTTGAAGCAACAAATAGGGTGGGGTCATAATCTTAGAAGATGTCACCGTACTTACCACTGTTATCACACTGGGAGCAGTGTATAAGTGACTCAGCCTTTCCTTTCTTGTTGGACTCCTTACCCTTCAGACAAATCCCACATAGAGCATTTGGAATGACCTTTGGCTGGAAGGGTAGAAGAGGACTGTAAATTCATGCAGGAGCTTGCTGTGGGTTCAGGGGACTGTTACTTTATCACCTTATCTTTACTTCTGGGAACTCACTATTGAGGACTTTGAAAGACATAACTGGGCAAGAGTCTGCTCAGAACAGAAAACAGCGTATGGATGAAAGTCTTAGAATTCATTTAAAATTTAGTAAACAGCATGATCTCGTGTTAAGATTAAACGTAGCATTCTTCACTTGCGACATACATATAGTACTGTCTGTATAATTAACCGGAAGCAAAAACAAAACACAAAATCAAATGTCACTATTAAGTGGAAGAGAAAATCCTCATCACCAAATGATATTACATGAAAGTTAAGCTAAGTTTTAAGCAATTTATGTACTGTTTTAAAATCCTGATATTTCCAAAGATGAAAAACTTGATATTTTAAAAAAAAACAGTATTTTAACATTTTTATTTGAAAGATGTCTTGAACATGATCATATGCATAAGTGTTTGTGGAAAACTGAGTTGTGATTACTCTTTGTATATTTAATAAATTAGAAGATCCTATGCTAACGGACAAACACAGTCACTATGGGGTAGAACAAAAAGGACAAGGTTTCAGATAAGCGAAAAGTTGTCACTTAAGAAATACACATATTTGGAGTACTACTTATCTTTCAGACTAAAAACACGCACAGTACCTGGGCTTTAAACGTATTTGGCATCACATTGGAAAGAACAACGGAAAAAGGGTTCCCTACAGGTAAAACTGTCAGGACAGGAAGGGTGCCTGAGCAGCACAGCCTACAGATGGTGCAGGCTGTCCGCATGCACATACCGGGTAGGAAAGGAGGAGCAAGTGGGGTCAAGAAGGAGCCTGGGCAGGAGGGAACCCACAGTGAACTAGAATGATCATGTTTCTGCTTTACTCCAATACAGCCAAATTCACCTTGTAATCCTCTTCCTAAGTTACTGCACCAAAGAGGAATCTAAACAAAACTCAAGCTGTGCATAACATATTCCAGCTTTGAAATGTCTCATTGCCACCTTCAAAACCTGTTAGGCCTGAAGAATTTATTCTTAATTCTTTCCATTTTTTTATTTTTTTAGATTTCCTTCTTTGCAAAAGATGACAGAGGCATTCAAAAAGAATTTTTGGCTTATTTATTTTAAAAAGTCAACCTTATACATAAATAATGATAAAAACAATGAATCTAAACAATCACAAATGTCTCTACAAAATAATAAATATCATGGAAGTTAAACATACATATAAAATGTCACCATTAACTATTCTACATCTCCTACGTGTGTATCTTCATACCCTGCTCCCCCAACAAAAGGATAAGAGTCACATGCTCCGACCTCAAGTCCTGCAGTGGAGCTGCCCTCTTGGGTACCCCTACCTCCTGGCACACCCTTCCCACTGTGTTTCTGCACCCCAGTGAGAAACGGCTCTAAGTGCACTTCTGTGATCCCATCTATAACTGCCTCTCCATCCACCAAAACTGAGAAGTCTTCTGGGTATGGTACTGTACTGGACATGAAGACACCCGCACTTAACACGTGTGGTTTTCAGTTACATACTGGTGTAGCAAGCACTCCTTTCTCCCACTGAAGTCAGGGAAGTAACTATACAACATTCTAAAAGGAGAACTCCTCGTAGGAGTGCCTTTACAAAACAAAAGTCAAAGGGTACAGCGCAAGGCTAGGCATTCACATTCTAGAGCAATTCAAGTTCTACAATCATTAAAATATACAGAAATGCCTACGATAAAAGGAACACTAAGAAGGGTCTAGGCTTACTTCTAAGTTCAAAGCATGTTTTGTTAAACAACTTACAATTTTTCTCACCCAACAGTCTTCTTGATGGAAAGAGGAAGAGAGAGAGAAGAGGGGAGAAGACAGAGTGCTGCAGCGTTTCCTCAGTGCGTGTGAGCATTGGGGCTCTCTGCAAGGCCCAGGCCTATACCCAGGACCAGGCCCAGGAGAGCCACCAACGTGGGCAGAGGAGGAAGGTCTTCCCCTGGACTGCAGGGGAGGGAGGAGGAGGGAAGCCAAGTGCAGACGCCCTGGAGACTCATGGACAGAACTGTGGGTCTGACCCAGACACTAGGTTCTACTTCACAAAACCAGAAAGACATCAGAGTTTCACTGATGACAAGAAAAGTAAAACACTCACTCGCAGTTCAGCATCTCAAATAAAAGGCTCACAATACACTTATCTTCCTTCTTGAAAAACAGCCAAAGATAAGTGAGACATTCATGGTAGCACTAAGATAATATAGATTTTAATCACGTACTTAACAGCCCAGAACCCTAACAATTATGCTTTAATTTCAGGTTAATGTAACCCAAACAATACTGTCCTACAAACTACGGGTAAGCACTCGTGGAGCTCTCAGATGAATTATCGCTTCTCACCCCCACCCCAGTGTGTCTGTGTGAGCGTCAGCTTGGAATTCCCTCATATTTAGGCACGTCTTGGCTTAATACTTTTCAGAGAGAGGTTAAGCTTTTAATAAACATGTTCACATTAAAGTATTTGTCTAGACACTAGTTGTTCCCACCCTTGAAATACTTAAATGTTCACATAAAATTATAAAATGTGTAGTTTGCATATCAGACTCCCTGGAGTACTGTTTAGATTAATCTATATAATTTCTTATCTATTAGATCAATGATAACGTGGATCGTTCTTCACTTTCAGTATGAAAATATCTGTTTCAATATTCTCTTTTAACCCATGATCAGACAGGCCTGTTGTAAGATCCACTCACACTGAAGAGCTAGGACCGTGTGCTCTGAGCCACCACTCAGAGTGGACGCTCCTGGACCATGAGCACACTCACTCATTACATTTCTGAAATTTAATCTTTGGAGTTCATTTGCTTTCAGTCATTAAGGATTAACTTAAATCTTTAGTTTAAAAAACTTAGAAAAGCTATATATGTAAAAACGAGTACAAAAATCACATAGCTGCAGCCTGCTGAAGCCACCGTGGAAGGCGACCCCTGCAGGACACAGCTCCAATCTGCTTGTCACGGCCTGCAAAAACCTGTGTTTTTAAGTTGAATACATAAAGGCATTTTCTAATAAAATATGGAATATGCTCATTGGGCGGGGGGGAGTGTTTTGTTTTGAATTCAGGAAAAGAAAGGTAGATGAACTGCTAGCAAGGGTTCTTGGGGAGAGGAAGATGGCTAACAGCCCACTTCAGCTTGTGGCCGTGGGTGGCTTCACAGTCACGATGCTGACACCCAACAGGGTCCAACAACCTCACTCAGCCGAGCCTTCTCACCACCTGAGCTGAAGCCTCCTCCAGCGCCCCTCCACAGACCGCCATGAAGTGCGTGTCCCCACACATTCCAGCCAACCACCTTGCGCTCTCCTGCCACCCCACGGCAGGCCTGCGGCTACCTCTCCCCCTTCCAGGTCCTCCCATTCTGTCAAGTGAGACAGGAACACCAGCCCCCACGGCTGCTGGCAAGCTGCCACCTTACTCTGAGAACAACTGGATGAAGAAGTAAACACTGCGTTCTAATCCTTGTCCTGCCAAAGTCATGCCACAAACCACCACAGCCTAAGTCGAGGTCTGCTTTCTATCCAGAGTCAGCTCCATCCAGCTGGCCCCGGCCTGAGGCCAGGCCCCATCTTTCTTAAAGGCACTGCACAGACACACCCCCACTTTTGGCTCACAGGCCTGCCTACAGCCACGGCATCGAGGTGTCGGGGAAGAAAACATGGAGCCCCTGAGAAGGGACCTTTTCAGAACCCATAATTGCCTGGTTGTTACTCAGAAGGAAAAGAGACTCGTAAATTGTACATACACAGAAAATAGAAGCTAAACCATAGCCAAGTGACAGGAAAGCCACCAGGGAAGTGAAGCAAAAAGAGAGCGGCAGAAGGCGCACAGCACAGGACAGGAGTGAGCTGCAGCAAGCAAGGGCTCCGGGTCGTGAGGTGCAGAGCTAACAGCTTCAGGGGAGAGGCTGCTCAGTAAGGAAGCCGTCAGGGGCTTTTTTCTTCTACCTTGTACCCAGGAACTGACTTGGACAGAACAGAACGCTTGGAGCCGTCTTTTCTCGGAGTGGCAGCCTTGTCCCTTGACTTCTGTCTTCCCTGGAAGGCGTCCTCCTGGCTGTCAGGGGGACTCTCCCCTTCAGACACGTTGCCCGAGGAGCTGTCCTGCAGCACAAGAATCAAGACAGACCTGAGTCCCAAGCTTTAAAACCATGGAAAACACGTTTTAAATGTTTCATCCTTTGAAAAGCATAAAGGTCATTCTGTATAGAGGAGACCTGTCTCTCGTGACACTAAAATGCACCAGGATGAAGAAGTAAACACTGCGTTTCCCCAGCCAGGTGTGGTCGCACACGCCAGTAATTCCAGCGGGTCAGGAGGCTGAGGCAAGAGGATCAGGAGTTCAAAACCAGCCTCAGCAACTTAGCGAGGCCCTAAGCAACTCAGTGAGACCCTGTCTCTGTATACAATATAAGTGGGGCTGGGATGTGGCTCAGTGGTGGAGTGCCCTTGAGTTCAACACCCAGTATACATACATATATATATATTATTATGAGTACAATATAATTTCAAGCTAATTCCATTTCTGCCAGTCAATGCCTGACTCAGCTCTTGTGGACTCAAGAAAACCAGAACAGAATCACCTTCTTCTGCTATTACTGCACCAACACACAACTTCATCACCATTTCTCTAATCACAAGGAAGCATATTTTGTATGATTACAAATAAGTGTGTGTGTGTTCACTAAATAGTAAAGGTTATTCAGAAAGTCCTTCAAATACACATTTTTTTCATTAAAATTTAATTATGCAGGGCCAGAATCCCAACAATCTATAATAGTAGCTGACATATTTTACATGTTCAAAGTTTAAGACCTCAACATCTATTCATTTACTTCATTTCATAATTTAAAGTTTCCTAACTAGAGTTACAATGTTGTGTTCATATAAATTATGAAAATTATAAGTGAAAAAATGAGGCTATCCACAGCCACCTATTAAACACCCTGAGACGTGGCAGGGTTCGTGAATGTGTCTCCCGTGTTGTGGGAGACCAACCTTGCACATGACTGGGTCACACTCCCCAGCTGGGTGCTGAGGTGCTCAGTCACAGAAATGTGGCAGAGCCTTCCCCACCCTTCTTAGGTCTGAGGGTCGGGGTCTCGTGCACGGGTGTGTCTTCCTACAGCCCCATGGGTGGAGCTACGCTCACCTGTTCCTTTGTAACATAACCCCTTGCCCTGTTTAGGATAGAATCTTCCATGGAAGTGCCTTGTGTGTGTCCCCTTCTCTTACTGTGCCCTTGGGTGTGGCCTACCCAGGTGTCAGTCAACCTGCTGACAGTGGACTTCATGAAGATAGACTCAGCCCCCTGAAACCTGACCCCTTGCCTCATTTGAATAGCTTCTCCTCAATAAAAGGGGTCAGTGCATGCTTTCTCTCTCTCTCTCTCTCTCTCTCTCTCTCTTTCTGTGGACCCTTAAGGTCAGAGGAGCCGTCACGGCGACCCCAAAGAAAAAGGTATTTGTGTCTCTTGTGGGGTTACTTTGCGCAGCCCAGTCAGCAGTCCAGTTTCCCTGGAGTGACCCCTGAGCCTTTTAGACATGAACAGAAACCTGGCACGTGTGCTTCTGGCGTTTCCATTCTGCAGATGCCTGAGTGCTCTCGGACACACACACCTACCCTTATAATGGGCCTGGATCATGCTGCGTCAATGTGCATGCAGGCGTCAACATTTTTGTAAAGCAATATGTACATTTTCTATCACTAATTATTCTCTGAACTGCCGTTCTATCCTATAAATTAATAGCACCCACAGTGAACACTAAAATTGATCTCTAATTTCCACTATGATAAATACTGTTAACACTCAAATGTTAACAATTTTTTTCTAATTAAATTCTGCCAGCATCTGATTGAGTCCTTAGAATAAATTCTCTTAGCAAACCTGCAAGATCAAATTCTATGCAAGTTAGAAGTATTAGCATGTTGTCAAAATACTTCCCCAAATGCTGAACGGAGTGACACTCCTCAAGCTTGGTCACCTGAGGAGTGTCATATCTTATGTGACATGGATGACCAAACATTCCAGAGGCTGCTGGTGACAGAGATATGAGGCCAGTCAGTGGCAGCATGTCCTCAGGTCCAGGTTGGCCATCTTGGTATGAAGTGTGAGGAGTGAGCTACTTAAAGTGCACTTCTAAGAAAACTGGAGCCTGTTCACACGGGGTCAAACCTGAGTCACTGCCAGGAGCTGTTTTCCTTCACGTCCACATGCACCCACTTCCATGTCCTCCATCCACAGCACACCATCATTCCAAGTCTACGATGCACCCACTCCCCACATCCACAGCCCACCTACCTCCCATGCCACAGTGTACCCACTTCCCAGTCCACGGGCCACCAGCCCCGTGTCCACATTGTGCTCACTTCCACGTCCACAGGCCATCAGCCCGCCCGTCCACAGTGTACCCAATTCCAACGTCCACAGCCGACCAACCCCCATGTCCACAGTGTGCCCACTTTCCACGTCCACAGCCCACCAGCCCCCTGTCCACAGTGTGCCCACTTCCCACGTCCACAGCCCACCAGCCCCCATGTCCATAGTGTGCCCACTTCCCACATCCACAGCCCACCAGCCCCC